TCGCCTGCACTACCCTGTAAGGGAACCTGCGATCAGTTTTTTTTAAAGTGTAGACCCATTGTGGCCTGAAAGAGTGCTTCTGCTTGTACCCCTCGTAACACATGTCACAAGGGTTTTTGCAATGAAATACCATCATATTCATGTTCAGCGGGTCAAATTACCCCTGGGGACAAGTTTCTAGCCGAATCTGATATTTCGACCTCACTTGGAAAATGTGGGCTATTCCATGGGTAATTAGCAGCAGATTGGAGCTCACCTACCATCGATGACTGGTCTCGGGGTGGAAGGGCCGAGTCAAAACCTCAGATTTCGCTAAGGTGCCGTCTCTAGGGGTTATTTGACCCCCTGAACACGAATATGATACCTTTTGCGCGAAGAGCGCTGTGAGTCGCGCTACAGGTGCCAACGCTTCGGCGCCAGCGCGCCTGGAAGAAGAAAAACAGTAAAGAAAAACCTCCATAACTCCGCTCAGAGAATCGTTCAAATTTTGAAGATAGTTTTGAGTTCACCGTCTCAAGGCTAGTACAATGATGTGCATCCCATTGCAAATGGCCTGGGCTGACCTGTTGACCTTTCCTGGCAAGATCCTGAATGGAAGTGGAGGGCATGCCGCATCCCAAAAAGGGGCTGGTCAACGGCGAAGACTATCCTTTATCCTGGATCACATACAGAGAAAACTGATATTCGACGGCAGCTAGGAAGCGAGATTGCTCATTTCTTCTCATCGCTGTCGCTGGATTTCTGGGGAATGGAATCACCAAGATCTTTAGCGATTGGACAAGTACATTGGACGCAGTTGGAGTACATTGGATGATCACTTTGTTGATTGAAGGCCTTGTCCAGTGAAGGGAGTATACTGTCTATAACACGGCTCGGGGTGTCGCAGGGTTTCCCACCAGCCTGATAAAAGTAGACAGGAGATTGAAATTCAGATTTGGTGAGAATATCTGTTGCAGCTAGCTTTATGAATTTCCATGCGCTCCTAATTCGCTTTTTCATAGTTTCCATTCTTCAGAGTTGGTCATCAGCACACCGTTAAAGGCAAGTGCGATAAACCCCTCAAGACGTGTAGGATTCCTACGCTTAGAGGACTAAATTCGCCGTCCCTGAGCAAGGTCTCGTGGCGGCTTTTCCAAACAGACCACTCTTATAGTGCCAGGTTAAGCTGCAACATACCGACCTGGACGCTCACAGCGCCCTCTCGTCCATAAATGGACGACCGAAGCAGATGCTCGTATCGCTTCATTT